GAGCATCAGAAGTACCAGTAACATAGCAGTATGCTTGAAATGATCTTGGCCCCACCCGTAATTGACGAAAATGCAGGAAAAGGCCGTTTTACCGCCGTAAAAGTGGGTGTGGTCAAAATCGCGGCGCGCTTCGCGCGCCCCAGCAGCCCCCTTTTCCAATTCCTAAATACGCCCCTGTCATTAATGGTTAGCTCAAGGCTGTCATTGGAATACATCTTTAATAATCTAATGGGTCTCCTGTGTATGACTGGGACATTTTTATCACTTGAAGACTGCAAGCAAAGAGAGGGAGAGAGAGGAGAGGGAGGAGGTTCAACAAGAACAAGGTACAATAAGAGAGAACCTTGAACTGTTTGTGAAGTGCATCTCTGAGTTTGCTCTGGTGGGTTGGAGGATGACCTAATTTGAGAAGAACTCTCATAGCAAGATACGTTAGAAGGATCTATGAACAAAGTCATAAAAACCAAGAACATGAAAACAATATTCTTACAAAATTATCTTCATGTGGAAACCACACTGATCATTCTCTAGTTGTTCTTAAACTAAGAGCAGCAATATCCTCCGGGCTAAAACCTACATTGTACGTGTACATAAATTCAATAAAAATAAAAAGACTTACCTTTATAAGGTTTTAAAGATACAAGTGATGCTATATTTGTCTTCTCTTTTGCTTTCTGGTGAACTTTATGGGCAACTGAAGAAAGAGAAGGAGTGATACTATAAATAACCACACCGTTACTATTTATAGATTCTAACTTTTCAAAGCTTTCTTTGCCCTGTTTCGTTGATGTGGAAGCTGGAACAGCTTACGGAATGAAAGTATAAGGATTTTAGTGATACATCAATCCATAACTGTGAGTCTTTAGGTTCTCATTGTAACACCAACTTCAAAGACAACAAGTTACTTTTTGTGTCCACAGCCCCCTTCTCCTGGTAGTAATATTCTCACTGTTAAAGACAGCAAGGTAATTTTATGACTATAACAAACATTTTTAAAATTGACTCTTTAAGATTGGCATAAAAGGTGACGTGAATGTTAGCTGGAAAGTTTACAGGTGTAGCAAGTCTGATCAGATTTATATTTATCCAGTCAATGGTAAATCACATGTATCAAGCTCACTCAGTAATAAGAACAAGGCACTGGAGGGTGAAGGAAAATTGAAGGTAAGACTTGTACCTATACATTTATCTATTGACTCTGCATCAGTAAGAGTCTTATACTGTGTAAAAGCTTTGCAGTATATATGCAATCTATTTGTCTTCTGTTACAGGGCCCTGATAAACCTGGTGAATATGAGGTTCGTTATTATCCAGCATGGCTCAAAGGTTCAAGCACTGGTCATCGTCATGATAGCTACATTGCAAGTGCTAGATTTACTGTTGCTGTCTAAACTAGTAATAGTATAAGTTTATTAGATTTTATAATTTGTTTAACTGCTGCTTTAAAAACTATTTTTATAAAAATTTTTGTAACTACCTAAGATTTGTTACTTAATTGCTGCTTTAAAAACTATTTTTATAAAAATTTTTGTAGCTACCTAAGACTAAACTACACACACAGCAAACTAAAAATGGGAGAATTAAATGAGCAATATAATAAGTCAGCACAAAATGCATAATGAGTCACCATTGAAAGTATTCTCTAATCACTATGGCATCAAAAATAGCAACTCCAACCACCATTATTGCAGCTTGGTATGTAAACTCTTCTGGTTTGTTGTCCGCTGGTCTACGGTCTGCTGCTGCAACTGGTCCTGGCATTTCTTGCATCACAGGTTGACCATCTCTACCATCGTCAACTGCTCGCTCTCCACGTGGGATTGGAGGATTACGATGCATAGAAATGAGACTGTAGTTTTGGTATATAAAATGTAGTCGGTATAATATCTCGGCTACTCCTAGCAAAAAGATGTGCATATCTGTCAAGTCACCATCACCCAAAACTTCATCCTTTGTACGTATGAAATTAGTAAAGCCCATACAGACTACATGAAAAGCCATTGTAGCACTGTAGAGGAGGCTTGTTATAGCATAGTACTGAAGTTCCTGAAGTCGTTCTCCATCGTCAGGTGCTACATCTTGAGCCCATGTCATTTGAAAGATAGTGAGTAAGAGCAAAGTGATCAATGGTAATATTATGATGATCTGAAAAATGTAGTCAAACTCAGTGACGTAGGTCTTGTAGATAAATGCAAACATCCAGATCTCATAGGAATGGAGGCTGAGTAGAGCAATGTTCTGACGAAAATCATGAAAAGCTGCAAAAATAATCCTGAAAAATCCAGTAAACCTCGTAATCTCACGAATAAGAGAGCAAGACAGATAAGTCATGCTGAGCCAAATGCACAGGCAGCAAATTTGGGACGGAGTGACAGGCTCCCAGTGATCATATTTTGGTAAAATCTCTGGCAAAATAAGTGTCGGCATGCTAAAAGTGATATCGAAACCAGGCTCTATGGTCACCATCATCCTGACAATAACCGAAACAAAGAGAACCGAGAGAGCCATTGCCGCCAGAATGGCTTTACAGCTGTAGATACGGTTACAGTACATCCTCAACATCGGCATGCTTCACCAATTCAACCTCTGTCTTTGTAAGAAAAAAAAATCAAGAAAGTTGTAATCGCTTGTTTCAATTGTAAACAAACCCACCCATTCCCTTCTGAATTGAATTTAAAGTGGTGAGCCCCGCAAATCATGAATAATCAACTGCGTATAAGTCATAATAGAGTGATAATGTGCTCCAATAACAATGAGAGGAATAAATATAAAATAACTGTATGTATGTAGATCTGTATATGCTTGATTCATTTTTGCTTAGCCCATAAAATTTCAGCTGAAAGAATAGCTTCAAAACATATTGAAACTGATAAATCATCATCATGGGAACCTAGTAGTAGGAATTCTGACATCGATATTATATTAAAAACCATTTTACTTCTAATAATTGATGAAGAAAGCTTTGAAAAGGGAGAGGAGCTTGTCGTTG